ATCATTTGAGCCCAGAAGTTCAAGTCTGCAGTAGGCTGTGATTACACCACTACACTCCAGCATGGGTGACACAGCAGTGAGCTGTGATCGCACCACTGCATTCCAGCCTGGGTGACATAGCAAGACCACATCTCTAAAATAAACAAAGTCAGTGAAATGAAAAGAAAGAAGTGGCAGAACAATTCTAGATTAAAAGAGACTTCAGAAACATAGCATCAAGAGCAGCAAGTGAACCTTGATCTAAAAAAAAAAGACTGAGAAGGGGAACAAAGGGGAAATTGGAATGTGGAATGAATATAATATTTAAATTTAATAGTAGGGCCATTAATATTAACATTTAATATTAGATGATTATTTGGAATTATTTGTAAATTGCTTAAGTGTGACTGGCATTTTCATTATATAGATGAATAGCCTTATTCTTAGGAGTTGTATCTTGCAGTATTTAGTGTTAAAGGGTCAATGTATTTTCAAATGGCTCAGCAATAACAAAAAAAAGTGTATGTGTGTGAGGAGAGATCAAGCTAATGTGGTAAAATGCCAACAATTGTTGAATATAGCTACCGGTTATATGTATGCTTGAAAGTTTTTAAACAAAGTTTGACAAAGGCAAAAGACAATTATGGATGGCTCGTTATAACTTGATACCTTTTGGAATAAATTAAATTTGTAGTTTGAGTAAGAGTGGATAAGAAAGATAAGAAAGCATGAGATCTGTAGTCAAAAGATCCAGGTTGAAGTCTCAATTTTTCTGCTACTAGCTGTGCAAATTATAAGCAAATTATTTCACATATCCAGACTTTAGTATCCTCATCTAGAAAATAAGTGTCATATGTCATAAAATTAATTATTAGTCAATGAAAGCCCTTTATAACGTATAAAGTAAAATATATTGCAGTAAAATGTCCCTTTCTGTAAGGTTCCCCAGTTTCCCCACTTTTTTCTCAGTCCTAACTGAGAAATAGAGTGCCTTGATCACTTTGTGACACTGCCAGCTGCATATTTTCCCTTGTAGGCTTGAACTGAAGCTCAGGCCTCGAACATTCCCAGGCACTCAAAAAGTGTTCAGGTTGTTACCCAAAATATTGAAATAAACTAGCCCTGGCTCTAAGCCAAATTTCTTAAACCCTCATATAAACTCTGTAACCCATCTCCTTTGTGATGGACATACCTAGGAAGAAGAACATCTGTTTCTTTCACTGTCCGTGATAAGGACCGATGCAGCACTCTATAGGTAAGTTCCCCTAATAAATGCTTTGGACTGGTCACCCTGACATTTAGTGCTTCTCTCTTTGGAATCCCAACTGGCCACAGCTCAGAACAGTTTGGGGCAGTTCATTCTGGGAACTCCCATACCACTCCTTTTGGGATGACTCCAGCCATGGTTCAACTGAACAGACCACTTCTCCTTTTTTACTTTTGAAATATCTTTTGATTCTTTCCTATATCCTGAAAGACATATCCTTAAATATATTGTGAACTACCAAGGGAAGCATTGTATCATCACCATTTTTGTCAACAAAGTAAGATCTGACCGACTGTATGTTGATTTCATTTACCCAAATATGAGTTGGAATTTATTTGGTTGATATATGCCATGATAAATATTGAAATTGCTGAGTATTTAGGCAATTGTGACACACCAAAAAACCCCCTGATTTCTGATCTGGAACATCATTCTAGACTGAGTAAATAGATCCTTGTAGGAAAAAAAATATGCCTGTGGATAAGGGCAACAAACTGGATTGGATGGAGGGCTGGAATGTGTTTTTTTTTTTTTTTTTTTGAGTTGGAGTCTCACTCTGTCACCCAGACTAGAGGGCAGTGGCCGCTCCCAGCCACCGCAGCCTCGACCTACTGGGCTCCGGCGATCCTTCCGCCTCAGCCTTCCAAGTAGCTGGAACTACAGGCGCGTGCGACCACGCTGATTTTTTTATTTATTGTAGATGAGGTCTCGCCAAGTTGCCCAGGCAGGTCTCGGACCCACGGGTTCAGGCAATCCACTCACCTCAGCCTCCCAAAGGTGGGGGGTTACAGACTGAGCCACCGAGCCTGGTGGAATGTGTATTTTTAAGATGCATCCAAGTGCTCTCTAAAATTTGATAATGACGGGGCTAGACTATTAATGAGTAATCATACTCCCCGGGACCAGATGTGGTGTTAGCAACTTGAATCAAAATTAATGAACCCACCAACCCAAATAAAAGAGTAGGTGAGACCGGGTATGGTGGCTCAAGCCTGTAATCCCAGCACTTTGGGAGGCTGAGGTGAGGGAATTGCCTGAGGCTGCAGTGAGGGAATTGCCAAGTTGTTCAGGCTGAGTTCGAGAACAACCTGAACAACTTGGCAAGATCTCATGTCTACAATAAAAAAATTTTTTAAATGGCCAGGCGCGGTGGTTCAGCTTGTAATCTCAACACTTTGGGAGGCCAAGGTGAGAGGATTGCCTGAGCCCAGGGGTTCGAGACCAGCCTGAACAACTTAGTGAGATCTCGTCTCTACAATAAATCACAAAAACTAGCTGGGCATGGTGGTGTGTGTCTGTAGTTCCAGCTACTTGGAACACTGAGGCGAAAGGATCACCTAAGCCCAGCAGTTCAAGGCTGTGGTTACCATGAGCATGCCACTGCACTCCTTGAGTCTTGTTGATAAGGGTGAGACTCCAACTGAAAAAAAACAAAATAAAATTTAAAAATTAGCCTGGCATGGTGGCGCATGCTTGTAGTTCTGGCTACTTGGAAGGCTGAGGTGGAAGGATTGCCTGAGCCCAGCAGGTTGACGCTGGGGTGGCTGTGAGCATGCCACTGTACTCCAGCCTGGATGATGGAGTGAGACTCCAACTAAAAAAAAAAAAAAAAAGAGTAAGTGAAAACGAAGACCAAGTTGAAGACCATAACTGTCCTAATGTACATGAGGATTCTTGTTAAGTGTTTCCTGATGTATGCTATCAGCTCTCAGAATCTCTCCCAGTTTCTATAAAATGTGGCAGAGTTGTACTACCTACATGAGCTGATGGAGAAGAAAGTTTCTAATATATTTTAATTGTTCAACACGTATTTGCCAGTTGATGTACTTCAGAAACTGAATTCTCAGATGACTACTTTATCTAAAATCATTCCCTACCTTGTCTCATCCTGACCTGACAACTCCCAAATTTACTTTTTTTTTTTTGAGTCTAGTTTTCACTCTGTCACCCAGACTGGACTGCAGTGGTGCAATCATGGCTCATCATAGCCTCAAACTCCTGGGCTCAAACAGTCCTCCTACCTCAGCCTTCTGAGTAGCTGGGTTTCAAATTTACATCCTTTACTGTGATTTCTTCATGGAACTTCAGACTCCTAGTCCAACTACCTGTTTGAAACTTCCTCTTGGATCTCTAATTGGCATCTGTAACTTACCATATATGTACAAAACAAAACGATTAATTCCTGTCCCTAAGCCTGTTCCTTTCAGGCTACTCCATTTCCAAAAGACACTCTTATGTTAGTTGTTCAGATCAATAACCTTGCAGTCTTTTTTTTTGTTTTTTGGAGTCTTACTCTGTTTCCCAGACTGGAGTGCAATGGCACAGTCATGGCTACCACAGCCTTGACTTGCTGGGCCCAGGCAATCTTTCCACCTCAGCCTTCCAAGTAGCTGAGACTGCAGGTATGGGCCTCCATTCCCCACTAATTTTCTGATTTATTGTAGAGGTGAGGTCTCTCCATGTTGTCCAAGCTGGTCTTTAACTCCTGGGCTCAGGCAATCCTCTCACCTTGGCCTCTCAAAGTGCTGGGATTACAGGCGTGAGTCATTGCATTCAGGCTCGTGGAGTCATCCTTAACCAACATTCAATTCATTAATGAATCAAGCTGATCATGCCTTCAAATATATGCATAAACATTTCTCAACACCTCCAACACTTCTAAGCTAGTCCAAGCACCCATCATTCCTCTCCTAGAATATTGCAATAGCCTCTTAATCTCCCTGCTTCTACTTTTGCCCACCTTCAAACTGTTTTCAACAGGACAGCCAATGCAAACTTTAAAGATGTAAGTCATGGAGTAAAACTTTCATACAAGGTTTATGTTAGAATGACTAAGGATAGAGAGCAAGGAATTCATAGAATTTATCATAACAATCTTCTTGATTTCTTTCGTGTCTCCTAGCTAACAAATCTTTGAATATGTGGCAGGGGGAAAAGTTAGATCATGTCACTCCTTTGTCCCCAAGCCCTCCAATTGATAGCTCCCTGTATTATGCAAATCATAAGCATTTATCATAGCCTATGAGGTCCTAAATGTGGGCCCCCCTTCTGATTCAAAACTTTTGCTCCTAATCGTCCCACCTATGAGGAACACTCTTTCCCCAGATAGCCACACGCTTTAATGCTCACTTCCTGTCTCTACTTTGCCGTCTATAAAATAGTCCTGCCACCATCTCCTTCTCTCCCCTTACTACTACATTCTGCGTCTTTATTTACCAATTTCCCGTTAGCTTGAACATGTAAATCCAATGAGGCAGGGTGTTCACTTTCTTGACTTTCTTTGCTGCTTCATCCTCAGTACCTAGAACAGTTTACATAGTAGGCACCTAATACATAATTTCATAAACTGCCAGTGAACCATAGGTGGTGCTGGCCTTGAGGCTGAAAGATGCAGAATCTGTAGAGGGAAAAAGGACTTCTTTGCTCAGCAACCGGAACAGGGGATGAGACTTCAAGTGGGGGGTGTGTCAGTCCAAGATACCTGGTACTGTATGTAGCCAACTTGGCTGCCCAGTTTATTGGCTTCTCTTCCCGCCCTAACCAAGCCCCTTTCAGGGCTCTTCTCACATTGGCTGAGCTCCAAGCCGTCCCAGCCAATGGTAGGGCAAAACCCGGCGGGAGGCGGGCCAGAGCGCTCCCGAACCCCGCGAGCGGGCGGGGGACTCCATCCCCGGGGGCACAGAGTCGTGGAAACCTCCCAATGCCTAGAAGGGCCAGAGGGTCAGGATACCAGTTACTGGAAAGTCGTTGACGCAGTTCCTTCCCCGCTTTGTTGCAAGATGTGGGTCCGACGCTTTCGGTGAGGGGTGCGCGGCAGCCTCGCGTGGGGGGTCCAACTGGGTATTGAGAGTATAGGTGGGGACGCAGGCCAGGAGCCAGGCCTCCTCCGCGGCTGCCGGCTTTTGTGAGGGGCGCGCAGCCGGGAAGTCGTTGTGGGCCTCCCACTTCTCTCCTTCAAAGCTACCCCTTTGTCTTGGCTCCACTCCCCGACTTCGTAGCTCCTCGCTCGGAGCAGGTTCGTGGTGGTCCCCGTTCCTAGCCGGTGGGCTGTCGGGGTAATAGTGGTAGGGCCATGCACAGGCTCTCAGAAGATTCCACAGCCCCAGAATATTTAACTCGGATCACCAGTTCAATCTCGGTTCTGTTACCACTGAGAAAACTGGGTCCCAGAGAGGAAGACAGAGTCTTGCCCAATGTTACTCAGTCATTGCTTATTCATTCAACAAATATTTATTGAGCACCAACCTGTTAGTGTACCAGATCGTGGGGTAACAATTGTGTACAAGGCAGAACTAAATTCTGGTAGGGACGAAATGGATAAAGCTTGAAGGGTTAGAAGCAGAATCTGGGGATCTGGAGGGAGAAACAAAACATATTTTGAGGCCTAGAAGCCTTAAAAAATTCATAATCAGGAAAAAATTCTTTCTAGTGCTCCTTTAAAGCCTTATTTCTTCCTAGAGAAAGACACTTGACTCAGCAAAGTTCCCTTCTCCTCCCCCTTGCACAAACTTTCTGTGGAAAACTGGATTGTAGCGAACTTTTCAACTGGAATGCGTTTTGAAGTTAGAGGAAAATATAGAGGCTTTTAGAGATCAACAGAACAGGTGAAAAAGAGTGGTTGTGATGTGATGGAATTAGGTTCTCCTTCAAACACAGAAGGCTTGTCATTCAGTATGTGTACACCTTGGACAAGTCATTCAATTCCTGGGAGCTTCATTTCCTCCTCTTTAAAAAATGGAAATGATCAGTTTTACTGTTCACAGTTTTATAGGAAGGAAAGTTTCCCCAAAATGGGACACCTGAGTGTCCACTTGGAGTTGAGGTCTCAGAGAACTCAATCATTTATATCTGTTTGCAGTGATTCAAGACCCCATTAGGAACATCCTCACCGAATCCAAAGAGACCAGACAAGATCTGTGCTGGGCAGATCCTTTGGATTGAGGCTGCTGTGCACAGGAGTGTGGGTGAGTCAGTCCCTTCTCTCCTAGGCAGGAGAGGCCTAGATTGTGAAGTTAATCTGGGGACAGGATTCCTGCCTACGGGGACCAGGGTTGAAAGGGAGCATTTCTCTATGATTATTTTTCAAACAGTAGAAAAACACAGAAGTGGTAGGAGGGCCTCTGGACCTCAAGGAGTAGAGTTTGGGGATGGGAGTAAGGGTGATGTCATAGAACTCAAAACTGGGTGTCATGAAACTTGGGTATGAATCCCTCCCCTCCTCTAAATTCCAGTTTCCCCCTCTGTACGTTTTGAGATAAGACTAGGTAGTCTGGGAGCTCCCTTCGGGGCTCTGACATTCTGAGAGTCTTGAATAGTAGGACTGGGTCAAATCCCCTTAGGGTATTTGGGCCCTTAGGTGGCTCTGTTGAGAAAGAATTGCCAAGAATACAAATACACCATCATGGTGTTTCTCATAATATAAAGAACAAAAAGGATGAACAGGTGAAGGAAGGATGGTGGTAGTGATATACAGATTCACCTGTCACTGTACTTCCTGTGTGGGTTCTAGATATTATACAGAATCTTGAACTTGTTTAATTTTTTTTTTTTTTTTTTTGAGTCAGAATGTCACTGTTGCCCAGGCTGGAGTGCCGTGGCACACACGACCACCACAGCCTTGACCTGCTGGACTCAGGCAATCCTTCTGCCTCAGCCTTCCAAGTAGCTGGAACTACAGGCACATGCCACTATGCCTGGTTAATTTTTTATTTATTGTAGAGACAAGGTCTCACCACGTTGCCTAGGCTGATCTTGAACTCCTAGGCTCAGGTAATCCTCTTGCCTTGGCCTCCCAAAGTGCTGGGATTATAAGTGTGAGCCACTGCGCCTGACTGAACTTGTTTAATTTAACATTTCAAATCATAACACATACTGAACCCTCTGTGTGCTGGGTACTGCGTGGTATCTATAGGGGAATATCATGGGCCCTGATATTCTCTGGGGGCTTAGAGGGTAATATGTACATATGAGAAGGGAAGACACACACATACACACAATTCTAGTGTAAAGCATACTCTGTATTACAGATTTGTCAGGTGTTTTCTTGAAGTAGAGAAATTTTATATGTCAGATGTATCTGCTTTTCCATTTTGGTGTCAGCCTTTGTGCTTGAGCCCTATTCCTGAACTCAAATCGTCCCTTGATATTTTCCTGAGCTCAAGTAGTCCCTTGATATTTTCTTCTAGTTCTTTTTTTCTTTCAATTTTTACATTTTACTAATATGTCTCTTGAATTCATTTTCAGGTATTTCCTCTTATTACTTACTCCATTGCAGTAAATTAATAACTAAGGACCGTGTGATCACTGCTTAAAGGAACCTGAAAAGACAGGTGATGCTGGCGAACTAAAGGAATACAGCCTCCAAGTAAAGCTACTGCTCTCTTTCCCCCGTCTCTCTCACTGTCTTTCTCTCTTTCAGGGAATAGGATTCTACCCTTTGAGGGTTCCTCACAGCCTGAAATGGATGATGGTCCTGGGATCAGAACACTTACTTACCAGTCTCAGAGATTTGTGGGTTAGGTGTGTGTGAGGCCTGTTGGTCCTCATTCATTCACTGACTGTCTAAGTTGTGCTTTTGTGCCTAGTTGCCTCAATATCCCTAGTGTTTACTGGCCCCATTACCTTATCTTCCCCTCTTCTGATCTTCTTTAACCAAGACCCCAATGGCTTAATGCCTTGGAATTCTTCCAGTATTTCTGAGGGAATTTCACATCCAATCAGGCAGAGGTTAGCCAGTAGTTAGGTCTCCTTTTGATCAAACTTTCCCCATAATGGCCCTCCCTTATCACCCATCTCTTCTTACTTCCTCCTCAGGTCCTCCACACCACCCTGGGCATCCTCATGGTGCATCCCTGTGCATTTCTGTTTCTCCCTAGCTGCCCTCTCTAACCCAAATCACTTTCTCAGTAAGCTCATACATTTTCATGATTTCCTCTGTCCTCTCTGTCTTCTCATTTTCAAATTTGCATTCCTGAATACATTTCCATTGCATGTATGCTTGTGAGGATAGAGAATTCACATGTTAGAGCTCTCTTGTGTCTCTTCTTATAAGGACACTAATCACATTGGATCAGGGCCACTCTTACAACCTAATTTAACCTTAGTTATCTCCTTATAACTCCATCTCCAAATACAGTCACATTGGGGCCTAGATCTTCAACAACTAAATTTTAAGGGGACATAGACATGTAGTCCATAACAGTGTGTCTTTGAATTTTTCCTGTGTTAGACTTAGCACAGTGGTATATAAGAGTAGGGTACAAGCCGGGCTCGGTGGCTCAGCCTGTAATCCCGTGCCTTTGGGAGGCTGAGGTGAGTGGATTGCCTGAGCCCGCGGGTTCAAGACTCGCCTGGGCAGCAAGACCTCATCTCTACAATAAATCAAAAAAATCAGCCGGGCATGGTAGCGCATGCCTGTAATTCCAGCTACTTGGAAGACTGAGGCAGAAGGATTGCCGGAGCCCAGCAGGTCGAGGCTGCGGTGGCCGGGAGTGGCCACTGCACTCCAGTCTGGGCGACCGAGTGAGACTCCAACTCAAAAAAAACACAAAAAACAAGAGTAGGGTACTCAGTAATTATTAGTTTAATAAATGTATTAAGAAAATAGAAGTTTCAGAAAAGATTAGAAATGGAAAGATAATCAGAAAGAACTATAAACTTTCTCACAAAACTGTAGAAGTGAGTTCACTTGCTATCCCACTGTGTCCTGTGGCACGTGGCTTCTCACTGAGTTTCTGTTTGCTTCATCTTACGTGATTAGAAGAAGTAGTAGCAACTAGATATGAGTGAGTTCAGGATCCTGGCAGGAATCCACCCTCTGCCACCATTGTCTCTGCCTACCTTCATATCTTGGGCACAAGTCTATGTGTATGTGCCTGTGTAATGATTCAGTGGAACCTGCAGTTCTGAGATGTAAACTCCAATCTTTGCATTTCTCTTCTTGTTGGTCTTAAGTACTCACTATTGGATATGCCTCTTCTTCAGAAACTGTTTCTTAGTTTATCAGAAAGCTATGATACAATGGAAGTCAGCTGAATTTTTTTTGAAATGAAGCAGAGAGTACTGCAAAAGCAATTTCATTTCTTCTGACCCAATAACTCACTTGTGGAACTTTTAACCTAGGAACACACACACACACATACACACATTTTTTAGTTGAAGTCTTAACTCTGTCACCCAGGCTGGAGTGCAGTGGAGTGCAGCTGTTCCCTACTGTTCCCTTTTGCCATCTTGAGGTACTCCACACTGATGGCTGCCGCAGCTTCAACCTGCTGAAATCAGGCAATCCTTCCACCTCCGCCTTCCAAGTAGCTGGAACCATGGGCGTGTGCCACCACACCTGGCTAATTTTTTGATTTATTGTAGAGAAGGTCTCTCCAAGTTACCCAGGCTGGTCTCAAACCCTTGGGTTCAGGCAATCTTCTCACCTCCACCTCCCAAAGTGCTGGGAGTACAGGTGTGAACCACTGTGCCCAGCTGGAATATATTTCAATAGGAAGAAGCTTTATATGTACAAAGAGATTATGGTAGCATTATTGATGGTAGTTAAGCCTCAGAGAACAACAGAAATGTCTAACACCAGCAAAATGGCAGGTAAATTATAAGGAATTCAATTAGTGGTACATTGCATAGCTACAAAATTATATGAAGATTAGCAATGTGGAAAAAATTAAGTAGGGAATTAGGGAGATGTCAGTCAAAGGATACAAAAGTTCTGTTAGGAAGAGTAAGTTCAGGAAACCAGTTATACGACATGACGATCATAGTTAATAATAATGTATTTATACTTGAACATTGCTAAGAGGATATATTTAAATGTTTTCACGATGAAAAACTAGTAAGTATGTGAGGTAATGGATATGTTAATTAGCTTGATTTAACCATTTCATAATATGTGTGTATCAGAACATCATGTTGTAACCATAAATATATACAGTTTTTATCAATTATAAAAATAAATAAATGGAATTAAGTAGAAGTAGGATGCAAAGTTACATCTACCGTATAGTTTATTACCTAACAATATGATGTAAACAAGTCTGAAAAGGAACATAGTAAAAGAAAAATCAGTCATGTGTTAGTATCATGGCGTTAACTTTTGGTTTTCTTTTCTTTTCCTTTTTTTTTTTTTTGAGTTGGAGTCTCACTCTGTCACCCAGACTGGAGTGCAGTGGCCACTCCCAGCCACCACAGCCTAAACCTGCTGGGCTCCGGCAATCCTTCCCCCTCAGCCTTCCAAGTAACTGGAACTACGGGTGTGCGCTACCATGACTGGCTGATTTTTTGGATTTATTGTAGAGATGAGGTCTGGCCAAGTTGCCCAGGCAGGTCTTGAACCCACGGGCTCAGACAATCCACTCACCTCAGCCTCCCAAAGCGCGGGATTACAGGCTGAACCACCGAGCCCAGCTTGGTTTTCTTTTACAACCCAAACCGCTCTAGATTCTGAGGTCTGCCAGGGTTACTTACATATCCAAAGTTTCATGTCAAATCAGTTGGGAAATTCCTGCTCAATTCTGACAACTTTTGGTTTCATGTATTAACCCCTCTTGGTTGCGCTGTTCTCTGCTGTTCTCTACTGTTCCCTTTTGCCATCTTTAGGTACTTTACCATTTCATGCCATGCAAGGTCCTATCAGAATTTTCCTTGCCATGCTTTAACAAATCCTCTTCCCCAACTGAGCCTCTCGTTTTCACCCAGTAGACTCAATCTGCCAGAGTGATAGGATGGTGAAAAGTAGATAGACAAAACCAGCCACTGTATTACTAGAAGTAGGGGAATTGGTTAGCAAGAACTAAAACCCAAACTGATCTGAAGATTAGTTATTTTAGCTACGGAACTGATAATCTTTTACATCACTTTTTCTGGGAACAGATTATAGTTGAGCTTGCTGTTAGAACCCAGATAAACTCAGTTCTGGGAGTGGAGAATGAGGCAAGAAGAAACTAGGTTAGGTTTTATACTGTTCACTCTGTATTCTGATGCTGGACGTATTGGGCTCCTCTCAGCCCCTGGCTTTCCATATGTGTTTACTTTGGCCTCTGTGTCTAACTTCATTTTTCTCATTCTTTTGATTAGTTCCCTTGACTTTGAATACTTACTCTTTCATATGAGACCCTGTAGTCGACCACATCTTGTTCTTGGATAATTCTCCTTCCTCTAGTTCAGAGAATAGGTGACATATGCAATTTCTGTTTCTCCTGTCAGATGGTGAAACTGGGACTGAGGAAGTGCTGATTCCAAAGCATCATTCCTGAAAAATCAAAATTGCATTATACTTTCAAGAGAATTCCACAGAGGTGTTGCCAAGGAAGTCAGAATGTTCCTCCTCTGAAGGGAAAGACTAGAGAGGCCACTGGAATGCCCCAAGCAGGAGAAAATGAGGAGAAAGACAAGAAACTTAAAACACAAGACAGCTAAAGACAATAAAGCACTCACAGAAGTGAGTGATCAAGAATCTGAAAAAGATAGTAGTCAGTGCTGTGACCCTACAACAAACAAGGGAGTTCAGGCTGAAAAGAGACAGTATGTATGTACTGTATGTGGGAAAGCCTTTGGTCAGAGTGCAAACCTCACGGTACATGAGCGAATCCACACAGGAGAGAAACCCTATAAGTGTAAGGAGTGTGGAAAAGCCTTCAGTCATAGCTCCAACCTTGTTGTTCATCAGAGAATCCACACTGGACTGAAGCCCTACACATGCAGTGAGTGTGGGAAATCTTTCAGTGGTAAGTCACACCTCATTCGGCATCAGGGAATACACAGTGGGGAGAAAACGTATGAATGTAAAGAGTGTGGGAAAGCCTTTAGTCGGAGTTCAGGCCTTATTTCACATCACAGAGTTCATACTGGGGAGAAGCCCTATACTTGTATTGAGTGTGGAAAAGCCTTTAGTCGTAGCTCAAACCTTACTCAACATCAGAGAATGCACAAAGGAAAAAAAGTTTACAAATGTAAGGAATGTGGGAAAACATGTGGTTCTAATACAAAGATTATGGACCATCAGAGAATTCACACTGGGGAGAAGCCTTATGAATGTGATGAGTGTGGAAAAGCTTTCATCTTAAGGAAGACCCTTAATGAACACCAGCGACTTCATCGTAGAGAGAAACCTTACAAATGTAATGAATGTGGGAAAGCTTTTACTTCTAATCGAAACCTTATTGATCATCAGAGAGTTCACACTGGAGAGAAACCCTATAAATGTAACGAATGTGGAAAAACCTTTAGGCAAACTTCTCAAGTTATTTTACATTTGAGAACCCACACTAAGGAGAAACCCTATAAATGTAGTGAATGTGGGAAAGCATATCGGTATAGCTCACAGCTTATTCAACATCAGAGGAAACATAATGAAGAGAAAGAGACTTCCTAAATTACAAATATTGTTGGTGATAGGGCTGTTACTTTTCTTAGAATTTTTTCACTATCATCAACCTTAATTCTACTTCTAAGAATCCATACGGGGAAAATAATCAAAAGTAGACAAAGGTTAAAAAAAGGGATATTCATACCAGCATCATATATAAGTGAAAGAAAACTAGAGGTACAGAAGCACAGGGTTTAAATGGATGATGGTCTAGCCATATGATGGCTTTGCAATCATTAAAAACATTTTTAAAGAATATTTAATGCCATGGAAATGATTTTGATAAAATGGAAGTTAAAAGAAAGAAAATGAAATACAATCTAGCTTTTAAAGAAACTATGCATAGGAAAAAATGAGAAGGAAATACTCCAAACCAAAATGTTAACAGTGTTTATCTCTGGGTGATAGGCAATTTCTATTTTCTTCTGTTTACTTTTTTATGCTTTCTAGATTTTCTACAATGAGAATGTACTACTTTTATATTCAGGAAAGAAGTACAGTATTTTTTAAATGCAATGCGTTTATTAACTCATTTTTACTCAACAGTGTTAGGAAAGAGACATAGTATATAGAATCTCAAGTCCTGGGATTGCACCCTAACATGGGCATTTAGTGGCAGTAGAACCATGAGCAAGTCACTTTTTTTTTTTTTGAGTTGGAGTCTCACTCTGTTGCCCAGGCTAGAGAGCAGCGGACGCTCCTGGCCACCACAGCCTCGACCTGCTGTTCTCAGATGATCCCTCCGCCTCAGCCTTCCAAGTAGCTGGAACTATAGGCACATGCCACCACGCCTGGCTAATTTATTGATTTACTGTAGATATGAGGTCTCACCAAGTTGCCCAGGCTGGTCTCGCACCCGTGGGCTCAGGCATTCCTCTCACTTTAGCCTCCCAAAGTGCTGGTATCATAGGCATGAGCCACCACACCTGGCCCAAGTCACTTCTTTTTAGAGCGTGTTTCCTGTTTAGTAAAATCATAAATATCAATCCTTTGTTTTTTACAGTTTTCAGATAAGTTGACTTTAGATTTGTCAACAAAGTATATACTATTACTATGAAGTTGAAAGAACATTGCAAAAAATTTACTGAATCTTCCTTTCCCACAGTTGTGAAGGATCAGCAGATGATGACGAATTACTTAGGCTCCATCTTCTCAATATATGTATAGAACAACCAGAAAAAAATAAATTTGAAACAACTGTGGGCTCAAAAGCTTTAGAAAGATGCAGTCACCATTAATATAAAACTAATGGAAAATTCTGCCTTCACGTGTTATATAGAGCTTAGTAGCCAAAAGTATAGACTTTGGGGTCAGAGTTTCTGTGTTCTAATCCCAGGTGTGGCATATATTAGCTTGTCAATTTTGGACCAGTCACTTAACTGCTCTGGGCCTCATACTTATCTGTAAAAAGGGAATAATTACCTTCGTCACCGAGTTGTTGTGAGGATTAAATTAGATAATGCATGTAAAGTATGACAAGCCTGACATTTGGTAAATAATAATAGCTTAAGCATAGGACACTGGAGCAGTGTTTCTAAACACTTTAGAGAGAACAGTTCAAGAGAAGTTTTGCCAAGGTAACACTTAGGATCTTTTCAGGTGTAATGAACAGAATACCAAGTACTGGTAACCTGTACCTTAAGAACATTGATTGTTTAAGAGCCAGACTAGAGGTAAGCAGTTTCATGTTTGGTTTGGGAACTCAGTAGTTCATCAGACTTTCGTTTAATGCCATAATTTTCAGCATACTGGCTTTCATTTTTCATTATCATATTTGCAAGACAGTGGCCATAGCCACAAGCTTATTTTCCTCACACAACTCCTTCAAAGTCAGGAAGTGAGGAAAGGACCTGAGGCTTTCTCATCTGGTTTTTTATCTTTATCATTGAGAAAAACATTTCCTTGAAGAAAGTGGGGAGAGGTGTTGAGCAGTCAGTAGTACTACAGATACAGATATTCAACTAGCCTCCTCTGTCTTTCTTTATGACCAGCCCTCTTTGAAGGCCTTAGCCCATCTTCAACCAGTTTAAAAGTTTAAGCTCTTAGCTCACAATCCAACTCGGAGCACTTAAAATCTTTCCATTTGAACTCAATCATTCCTCTTATTTGTATACAGTGAATCCTTAAGCCCAATGCTGTTTGTCGTATGCACATGATTTGTTTCAGGAATTATTGAGGAGGTATTATCTCGTTTAATACTCCCAACGTTTGTAAAAGAAAATTGAGTCTCAATGAAGTTAGGTGACTGGCTAGTAAGTTGTTGAAGCCAGGATTTGAGCTCAGATCTGACTTTGAAGTACATACTTTCTTCATTATACCAAAGTGCATCTGCCCATCATGGTGATTCTATGTGAGTGGGAAACCAAGTTCTCCTAGATAGCTACTTCTATGAAAGGTGATCGTATCTGGACAGTTATTTGGCCATGTTTTCATAAGGAAGGTGCTATCAGTCTTCTCTGAGCTTTCTGGCCCATCTCTGCACCTCATAATTTAGTATTAAGGGTTATATATTTCTTGCTTGTTACTGGAAAGAAAGAAGTGAAAGTTGTACATTTGAGTGAAAATGAAAGGTTTTATCCTGTTTTGATAGGATAGTGTTTGCACATGATTTTGTAATATAATAGTCCTTTTTTCACGGTTATTCAAAACAGGTTTTGGAGGGCTTGCAACAGATTGGCAGCATTTAGAGCGGCGGGGCTGTTATATCATCACTGAGCAGAATTGTTGACATTTCCTATATTGCTTAGCAGATATTCTCTGGCCAAAACACTTTTCATCACTATGTCATATTGTCTGAAATTCTTTCTTCACTTAGGCTTTCTTTTTTATCTTAGAAGACTTTATGATCTTCAAGAGTAAATATCTTCTAGGAAGGATATCATGTGGTCTCATCTCAAGCCCAGACATATGAATACTGGAGTTATTTACATTTCTTGCCCCAGGCAAGCTAGGATTATAGTCCCTTGGGAAGGCTCCTTGACTCATCTTCTAGGCTGATAACATGCCTTGAGCTGCAGGAATAAACATTGACAACAGGTCCCTGCATACATTCAGATAAATATTCTGCGATATAATTTGAACTGATCACCCACCTTCCTCCAGGAGTCTCCTAGGACTACCAGCTGTTACCTCAGAATTTAAGCATGCAGCCCTTACTATCCTTTTAAGCCCTTTCAAGATACCCTCTGCAATTCAGGAACTGTCTCTTTGAATGCGTTTTCTTCACTTTCTTGTTCTAATGGAAACCTGTTCCCTAAGGGCAGGGCTTACTCTGCAGTCCCTCAATGGCTAGTTTTTGTCCTCAACTCATGCACCTCTCAGTACTGCCATTTCTTTTCTGTTCTCCATCAAAAACTCAGTTCTTTTGAATGAACATCACTACTTTGTATTACCCATTTCTGTTTTTGTCATCTGCTGGCCTCTTGTGAACTCACATTTATTCATTCATGTTTTTAGTGCCCTGAATATTCCTGAGGAATATGAAAAAGCAATATTTGGAGCTGCAAGCATCCTCGTTGTGTAGAATTGCTCCTGTGTAGACTAAAAATATACATGCTCTTTTTAGTTGAGAGAAAAAATCAAAAATCTCATTTTATATAGCCCTGATTAAAGGGTAATATGTAAGACAAAGAATTGTGCTTAGAAAGAAAAGTGTCTCCCTGGACTTAGAGATTTTTTTTTTTCCATAGATGGTGTGTCCTGTGTTAGGTCTTACTTGGAAGAAAACTGAAACCAAAAAGAGCTTTAAGTAGCTGAATAATTCTGTTCAACCTAAATCCTATGAGACTAAATTTCATTACAGCTCTATATCCTCAGTGACAAATTTCCTTTTGAAATTTTTTTTCATTCAATGTAAATTTTAAAATATGCTCCATATTGTTAGATTGTTTTTAGTCACTAGACTGTCTTTAATCACCTCTGATGTTAAAAACTGAAGTCATGAAATTGCTTTTGCAGGAAATAGTGATAATTCTTCTAATAAACATCTGCTATTCTTATAAATATCACAGGTGGGTTTTTTTCTTTTTGCTTCCTTTGTTCAGAGTGGGAAGAAAACATCTCAATATGTTTTTCTTTCTTTACCAGCTGTTTTTAGAATGAACAAGTGATTATGGTTTGTTTCTGAGTCAAACACTACATGAAATTTGTTATTTTCACACATATATAAATAAGAGTTCTCTAGCCATAGGAATTTTTCCTTCTGTTATTTCATGGCAGGGCTTATACAGCTAGTTATTGTCCCATCCCCTCCAGCCACACCTGTGTCTCAAACCCCTACTATCATGTAGACCTCAGTTGGCTGTGTAAGGCCATGTTCTCTGAAGTCCATCTCTGCTCCAGAAGGTAGGCTGGTGGGAGCAGAAAAGGAGATGGCAGACTCCTTTCTGGGCAACGTGGATATAGTACCTGACTAGTTCCCACACCTTCCACTAATTATTTCAAATCCAGATGGTATAATTTTATTATATGAATTATAGGTATGCAAAGGCTATAGCCAGTCTCTGAAACTAAGGCCAATGACTCCAAATTTGGAAATCACAAGGGGTAATTTCATACCTACAGATAAATTTACCAGGTCTACCAAATCAGCATATCTGGAATGGGGCCTAGGAATTGATATAAAACAAAAGCCTCATAATGGGGATCAGAGAAAGTTTCTCCTTAGGAGCCTTGACTCTTCACGTGACTATTTTTATTATGATTATCCATTTCCCTCAGAAGAACCTAGAAGTCACAAAATATTGAGACTTATACCAAAGTTTGTGCGTGCAGTCATATAACAAATTAGCAATCAGTTAATTAAGTCAGAAAGAAAATCCTGGGGACGGGGAGACACCTCTTATCAACAAGGGTGCCCAAACGAATCATATTTGTATACCTAACCCTTAACTGTACCCCACAATATCATAATAAAAATATTGATTAAAAAAAAAAAAGAAAATCCTGTCACATTTGCTGTTAGTTTAACCACAGAATTTAGCAGAGACTCATGTTTTTAAAAGGTGGAATAGAACAGTATGGCACAAGCTGGGTAA